GAGCGGTCATACGTTATGTGGTGAGTGGCGGCTGAGTCCAGAAACCATTCCGTCGGACGATTGCTGTTGTATGCCACGAATGCTACCTGCCGCGGAACTCCTGGCCTCCTAGCTGATCCACCGGATCCTGGCTTGCTGCCGCTAGCTCCGCTGCCACTACCTCCGTTACCACTGTTGCTGTAGCCACCCTTGTAGCCAGAATTTGACGACTGCTTCAGTGCCTTAAGCTGCCTGCAGTCCTTAACCACGTGTCCAGGTTTATTACAGTAGTAACAGATGACTTGCTTCCGACTATGTCCCGAGCTGTTGTTAGCCGGCCCCCGGCTACCATAACCAGAAGTAGAAGCGCCGAACGTCGAACCGCCGACAGACGCGAAGGCTGCCGACTCGGTAGGCTTGCCCGACCCACCGTTAGCCGTCTCGATAGAGAGAAGCTTTGCTGTGACGCTCGCCATGTCCAAATCGCCGTCACGCATAAGTAATGTAGTCGTCACCACGCTGTACCGACTGGGTAGACCAACTAGCACGGTGTACGCCAGCTCGGAGTCGTTAACTACGTGGCCGACTCCCAATAAATCTGTTTGCAGCTGCCTTGCACGCGCAAAGTACATCGGAAGAGGTTCGCCGTCGACCATCTTAAAACGGCTGAATTCTTGACGTAGAGACACCTTGCGGGCGTTGTTGTTGGCAGCAAACATAGATCCCAAGGCGTCCCAGGCCTTCTTCGCGTTGGCAGCACCGGTAACCATCGGTAAATGATGATCCTTGACGTTCTTGATGAGCAGATTGATGACCTTCCGTGACTGTCGAATTTGCTCCTCGTTGCACGGCTCGGCGAGCAGGGATTACTCAAGCCCAAGCTCCATGCACAACGCGCTGAACCGAATTTGCCAGGTAGAGTAGTTGTTGAGATCCAGCGACTCATCAAGCTTGTCCTTAACCATTGTTGATGAGGGATAGAAATAACAATTGGGCGATAACTGTCGGCGCTAATCGGGGCTCATAACCTATTGAAGAATTGGCGACGGTGACAGCTAACGCTAATTGTTATTCCGGAAGGATTGCCGGTGGCGAAGATATTTAGCACGATAGACTGTTACAAGTAATGTAAAGAGTATTGTTAGCGTTCGGCAGGACTTGAGGAGATTCCTATGAGGAATACCGATCGTAGTGAGATAAACTAATAGACGCAGTCACCGCCCTAAATACCGGCGCTAGCGGAAAACTCGTACATTCCGCGATCTAACTGCACGTACATTCCGCGATCTCACTGCGCCGTCCAGACGGTGCCCTAATGTCTATCACTTAGCTACCGGATATGCATCGGTAGCCCCATAAGGTTCTGGGGTAAGTCTTCCCCATTATTTAGGCGCAGACCCGGGGTCAAATCCCCTGGTCGACAACCACACGAGTTGGGAGAGGACCGTTTCCTCAACACTATGTAGGGCCGAAAGGTTCGGTCCATCAGGGCTTGGAACGTGGCAGGAGCGTTCGTCAAGCCGAAGCTCAGCACAGTATACTCGTAATGACCAGCGGGCGTACGAAATGCAGTTTTCGGAATATCTGATTCAGCAATACGGATTTGATTGTACCCCTGCTGTAGGTCAATAGAGCTAAAGAAAGCCGAGCCACGCAGTCTATCCAGTAGATCATCGACCCGTGGGATAGGATAGCGATTTTTAACGGTGGTCGCATTTAAACCCCTATAATCTATGCACATATGCAGAGTCCCGTCCTTTTTACCCACAAATAAAATGGGAGCAGAATACGGGGATGTGCTGGGTCGAATCATACCTTTCCTCAGTAGGTCGGCTACCTGGCGTGTCACCTCATCCAGCTCCAGGGGGCTGAGGCGATACATGGGGTGCGAAACAGGCTGCGCACCAGGAGCCAAAGGTATGGTATGATCTACAGGTCTCATCGGGGGAAGTCCAGGGACCTCACGGAAGATATCTGAGTATTCGTTAAGAAGGGCTTCAACCGCAGGGTCATTTTCAGTGATCTGGGTAACGGCTGTATTCAGTTGCAGTTTATGCCGTACTAGCAATCCATGCGCCCCCTTGCGAATCATAAGGATAGCTGCTTTGCACCCAACGGGTTCAGGCTCAATTCGCTTACAGATAGCGGCAGCAGCAAAATTCACACAGGGTTCGGAGTGCGCAGCACTAGTATTCCCTTCTCCCATCCGTCCCGCAGTGGTGAAAGGCGCCTTATAACACAAGGTTCCCTTCCGCAACTGCAAGGTGTGGGTCTCATAATTCAGATGAGCCCCATACTGATCAAGGGTAGCGGACCCTAAGATAAACGTGGCTGCATCAGTAAACTTAGGCAGCACATACGGACGGACATTTAGGTGCAAAGGGCCCAAGGATATACGAAGGGAAACTTGACCCAAAATGACCTGCTTACCCCCGTCAGCAAGGGTGACAGATGACCACGATGCCGGTTGAGGTTTCAGTCCGAGTTGCTCAATGATGGACGCAGAAATGAAGTCGTCGCTAGCACCGGAGTCGGCCATGGCAGTTAAAGAATGTCCAGCGACACGAATGCCAATTAACGGGACTCTGGCCCCTGTTGACGCAGCAACTTTTGCACACAGGACTGAAACATGGGGCTCCGTGTCAAGGTGCCCCAGGACAAGAGGGGGATCGTACCAAACGTCAGCAGTATACGGCAGACCTGGAAGGGAAACAAGTTGACCCGTCATGTCTACACCGTTGAAAAGCTTGCTACCAGCACGAAACTGAAGAACCCGACACATCCCTATCAGCAAGGAGGCAGCCCTCGGGGATACATGTGCTGGTAACAGGAGACAGGCAGCGGTGTCCGGTCGCTGACGTTTGCAAATACGATAGTAAGCCAGCTGAGACTGAAGTTCCTTGAAAGAGGAAGGGGAAATCCAAACGGTATGCCAACCCAAGTTACTAGAGGTTAGACGCCGTGGAATAGCAAACAGATTACAGTGCTCGTCAAAACCAGGACGAGCAGTACGAGCGTCAAACGAAAAACGCCGTCCAACAGCCTTCTCAACTTGGTTCAAAACGGCCGGTAAAACAGCACGGACAGCACGTCCAACCGGGCAGATAAGGGGTACCGTTTGGTTTTGTAACCCAGGGAGTGCTTCCCTGACACTGTCCTGGGCAACCCCCTATTTTTCCCCATTCCTAGCTCTCTTCTCTGAAAGCAACGGGCACTCCGCTACTCGGTGCTTATCCTCCCCACAGCGGAGGCAACGGCTATTTTTCCGGCGGTACTCATACTCCGTCCGAGTGCAGTAAAGGCCGCGGATAAACCAGAAAATCCGATCAACCTCCCTTAAGTCAGGAATGGGTGCTATGAGAGCCTCGAAACGACTATGGTATGCGGCTACCGTTTCGTTTGCCCGCATCTGATGCTGCCCAGCAGCAAGCTTTTCTAGCGCTTCTAGTTCGCGCGTTTGAATCTGCGGGCAAAACGAATTAATAGCGCCTCCAAAAGTTGCTCTGAAGTATATTGCAACCGCGCGTTAGTCCAGTCATCATGCCAGGTTTTCGCGGCGCCTTCAAGAGCGTTAGCTAAAAATAAGCAACGGATACTGTCATGATTTCCGCCCCGCACGAAATTAAAATACTTCCGGACATCGCGGACGAAGGCGCGGACTCGTGGCGCAACTTCCCGCGATAATTCACTAAGCTTAATATCTGCAGGAATACTGAGCCTAGGTACCGGAATATTAATTCTGATCACCTCATCACTAGCCCCAGCGGGCAAGCCGCGCTCAGTAGCGACGTTGTTCCTTCCATCACCGGCGGTCGTCCCGGTGGCGCGACCCGCGATGTGTTCCACTGCAGGAATCGGAACATCGGATGAGGGATTATTCATATTTATCAATTGGTTATGTTATTCAGGGCAATAGGCGGCGGCGGGACAGTTCCATTGGTCATATCGATAGCGGAGGGCAATCCCCAACGACTTCGCCTAGACTGCTCCATTTCCAACTATCCTGACCCAGATCAGGCAGACCGCGTACCCAAGTAAAGAGAACTGTCAATTTTTCTGGAAGTCTGTTCTAGCACCGAACGGGTGCTACGAAGCTCTTGACAGAGCCTCCGGCAAAGGGCAGGGACCACCGAAGGAACTGGCGGTTCGGAGCCTGCAGCAGTCTTACCGCTATTAACCCAAAATCCTAGAGAAAGTCAGCAAACAGATTTGCTAAAGTAGTTTACAGACCGGCGGCAGCGACTTCGCGGACAGCATCGCCAAGAGCGTCGACGATTGTAGCCAAAGGTCTGGTGACGTCGTCGACCTCCATCCGCGCGCCGGTAGAAGTGGGGATCTTGATGGCAAAAGGGGGATCTTGAAATTTTCAGAAATGCGAGAGGCCCCGGGAGGAACCGTCTCGATACCAGACTTGTTGTATCTTACTAAACCACAACTGGATGGTGGCGTCGGAAGACACCGATTTGGAAGAGTTTCGCCCGCTTATGTTGGAAATGACCGACACTCATATACCAGTGAATGGTAGCCACAGTAATAGGACCCAACGGGGGTCCGGCGCTTTGCTGGTCTTAACAGGTTATGAGCCCCGAATGGCGCATTGCGCTGCCGAGAGATCGCCGGATCGTTACCCACTGGCTGTTGCCCAGAGAATGGGAGACCGGGATGAGGCACGGGAAGGCCCGTAGCGAGAGAGTGTCGCTCACGGGGGGGTGTTGGAAATGACCGACACTCATATACCAGTGAATGGTAGCCACAGTAATAGGACCCAACGGGGGTCCGGCGCTTTGCTGGTCTTAACAGCTTAAATAGCGGAGGATGCGGCCATCCCATGAATCGTACAGCCAATTCCGAAAAGGCGCGGTCCAGTCCGGAATGGCGTACCGTTGATCCATGCTTCCAATCGATGACGGGGCTCCGCGAGCCAGGGACCAGCGTCCCAGTCGTAGCCTGTGCTACGACCCCCGCCCATACTTCTGCAAGTATGGACTTCCGCCTGAGGCGGCGTTTACTTGTTGGCATCCATGACAGCTTCCCGCTCGCCGTCTGACCCAGAGGTCGGAGCCATAAAGATCTGACAGAAAAGCGGCAAAATAGGCAGTTGGAATTCAGTTAGTTCCAGCGAACTTGTCCAGTAACCGCGCCAAGCGAGAAAGGAAAAATTAGACAGAAAAATGTATCAGTTTGGGACCAGATTTAAGAAGCGGAATACAACAAGATGATACCATTGTTGCGTCTGAAGACCCGGAAAGGGTCCGGGCAATTAAAGCCGCAATTGTGAAGGTCTCAAGGTGCGCGACCTTGGAGAAGCAAAGGTGTTTTGGGGCATGGAAATTAGGAGGGAGAAGTCGGGTGAGATAGTGTTGTCGCAGTGTAGGTATATTGAGCAGCTATTGGAGCGTCATAAGTTGGTTGACGCCAAGCCTAGGTCTACCCCTTTGCCTCCGGGCTTTAGGTACACTCCTACAGGGGACGGAGAAAAGCTGCTGGACAATCCCACGGAGTATAGGGCTTTGGTGGGGGAGTTGAATTACCTAGCGACGAACACGCGGCCTGACATTTCATATGCATTGAGCATTTTGTCCCGGCATATGGCCGCACCCACAAAGAGTGTTATGAACTTAGCAATCGGCGTTCTGCATTACCTGGCGGGTACTCGTGAACTAGGATTGCGTTTTGGGGGTGTTGGCGACATTGAGATGTCCGGGTATAGCGATTCTGACTGGGCAGGAGACCCAGTTACACGGCATTCTACTTCTGGTTACGTATTCACTCCCAATGGGGCTGCGATTAACTGATGCAGCCAACTACAACCTACTGTGGCGGCTTCGTTGGTAGAGGCCGAGTATCAAGCTACAGCGGCAGCTGTTCACGAAGCCTTGTGGCTTCGCAAGCTGATGGTCGATTTGGGTTTGCCTGAGGGCGCTATCAAGATTCAAATAGACTCCCAGGGGGCGCTTAGCTTAGGAAATAACCCGATCAGGGTTCGACACCCCGTACGGGGCCCGTAAGTTTTTGGCCTTTTTTCGGTATCCCTGTAAGGGCCCATAGGACTTTACGGTGGCCCCCGTAAGGATTTTGGGGCGCAAAGTGCCCCCGTACGGGGCCGCCCCCAGATCGGCCGAAGGCCGGTTACGGGGGCCCCCCGTAAGGATTTTAAGGATTTATAAGAGGCCGTACGTGGCCCGTAAAGGCCCCCGTAGGGGAGAGGACGGACCGATTGCCGACTGCCATGCAAGGTTGTAGTACCCTTTGACCATATATAGGATAAGGCCACACACTTGGCAGGCATAACTCATATTGCAATATTTAACTACACTTTTCATAATACTTTTATAACTTCTGGTCTGCAACATTTTGATGATGAGGAGGAGGACGAGGAGGAGGAGGACGAGAAACAGGAGCAGAAGGGATGGGCGGCCGCGGCGGCCAAGGCGCTTGGCTTTCACTGAGTGTGCCGTGTCCCCGAGTGTAATGGTTCACGAGAAAATAACGAAAACAACGATTTACAGGGCAAAAAAATGCAAAGCGTCACTTTCCATAGCATTTCAGCCAGCGTTCAGGTTTTGTGGGGGTTAGGGGGGCCCCCGTAAGGTTTTTGGCCGGTACAGGAGCCTGGTACAGGGGCCCCTCCGCAAGGAAAATTTGGGAGGTACGGGGAACCCACAAGTTTCAGGAAGGTCAGTGTCGAACCCTGAACCCGATTACGTCTGCTTGGTCGAAGCACATCGACGTACAGCATCACATAGTGCGTGAGAGGGTGAATAGTGGTGAGGTGCAGTTGGAATACTGCCCTACAGAGTGGATGATTGCGAATGTGCTCACGAAGACTCTGGGCGAGGGGAAATTCAAATGTTGCCGAGATGCGATGGGCCTTGTGTGAAGCGTGCTGATGAACTTGGTACTCGTTGGGATACGGCCCGAGGGGGTGTGTTAAAGAAACGGTCCTCTCCCAACTCGTGGGATTGTCGACCAGGGGATTTGACCCCGGGTCTGTGACTGACAACTGGGGAAGACTTACCCTGGAACTGTATGGGGTACTGATACATATCCGGTAGCTAAGTGAAAGTCATCGGCCACCACCGCCGCTGCCGCCGCCGCTGCCGGATCGCGTCTGTTGCGGGTGTCATCTGATGTCGCTGCTGCTGAGATGCCAGCGGCGGCAGCGGCAGTGGCGGCGGGTCGCCTGCCTGCTCTCCCTCTCCCTCTCCGTCTTCCTCCACGACAGGGCTGGTATGCCCTCCACGACAGGGCATACCAGCTCTCCTCCACGACAGGAGCTACTCCTCCACGACAGGGCATACCAGCCAGCGTTGCATACTGCCAACGCCGGAGCCGTACGTTCCCAGTAACAGCAAAGACCGCTACGACTCCCGATGAACGCTAATGCCAACTACTTACTACACATGCAACTCAGCAAAACGTTTACCACACCTCTCGCACCTTCTAATTGCCAAAAACAATACAACATCGCTGAAAACTAATAACGAGGAATCCCCCGACCTAGCACCTGATAATAACCTAGTGCGCCGCACTGCCCGCACAGGTGTCTCTGGTTCCATGGCGCTCATTCCGTCGCCTCCCCGGTGTCGCTACTCCATTGCCCTGACCCTGCTGACCCAGCTTGTCTGGGTGCCCGGGCCTTTCCACTCATTTGCGACCTCGCGATGAGACCGACACCAGCTCCTTGGTCGTGGTTGCCTTCGCACTGCCAGTGCCGTTGCGACTGCTGGCGGTGGCGGTGAGGCGACCGCTGCTGGTTCCACACCCAGTGGCTGCACCCGAGCTACCACCGCTGTTGCTGCTGCCCTGCCCCTTGGAGCCGCTGGCGCCTTCTGACAGCGGCAGACCCGCGCATTGCCAATCACCGAGACCGCCCTGGAACCGGCGGGATGGGAGGGCACAGGGTATTGAAGAATTGGCGACGGTGACAGCTAACGCTAATTGTTATTCCGGAAGGATTGCCGGTGGCGAAGATATTTAGCACGATAAACTGTTACAAGTAATGTGAAGAGTATTGTTAGCGTTCGGCAGGACTTGAGGAGATTCCTGGTAGGAATACCGATCGTTGTGAGATAAACTAATAGGCGCAGTCACCGCCCTAAATACCGGCGCTAGCAGAAAACTCGTACATTCCACGATCTAACTGCACGTACATTCCGCGATCTCACTGCGCCGTCCAGACGGTGCCCTAATGTCTATCACTTAGCTACCGGATATGCATCGATAGCCCCATAAGGTTCTGGGGTAAGTCTTCCCCATTAGTCAGGCGCAGACCCGGGGTCAAATCCCCTGGTCGACAACCACACGAGTTGGGAGAGGACCGTTTCCTCAACACGCCCCCTCGGGCCGTATCCCAACGAGTACCAAGTTCATCTGCACACTTCACACAAGGCCCATAGCATCTCGGCAACGTTTGAACTTCACCTCGCCCAGAGCCTTCGTGAGCACATCCGCAACCATCCACTCCATAGGGCAGTATTCCAACTGCACCTCACCGCTATTCACCCTCTCACGCACTATGTGATGCTGCACGTAATCGGATTGTTTCCCAAGCTAAGCGCCCCCTGGGAGTCTATCTGGATTTTCACCGCGCTTTCAGGCAAGCCCAAATCAACCATCAGCTTGCGAAGCCACAAAGCCTCATGAACAGCCGCCGCTGTAGCTTGGTACTCAGCCTCCACCGACGAAGCCGCCACAGTATGTTGAAGTTGGCTGCTCCAGCTAATCGCAGCCCCATTAAGAGTGAATACGTAACCGGATGTAGAACGCCGCATAACTGGGTCTCCTGCCCAGTCAGAATCGCTATACCCGGACATAGCAACGTCGCCAACACCCCCAAAACGCAATCCTAGTTCGCGAGTACCCGCCAGGTAACGCAGAACGCCAGTGGCCAAGTTCATGGCAGTCTTCGTAGGTGTGGCCATATGCCGGGACAAAACACTCAATGCATAAGAAATGTCAGGCCGCGTGTTCGTCACAAGATAGTTCAATTCTCCCACCAAAGCCCTATACTCCGTGGGATTGCCCAGCAGCTCCTCTCCGTCCCCCGTAGGAGTGTACCTAAAACCCGGAGGCAAAGGAGTAGACCTCGGCTTGGCGTCAACCAACTTATGACGCTCCAACAACTGCGCAATATACCTATGCTGCGACAACACTATCTCACCCGACTTCTCCCTCCTAATTTCCATGCCCAAAAACACCTTCGCTTCTCCAAGGTCGCGCACCTTGAAGACCTTCGCAATTGCAGCTTTAATTGCCCGGACCATTTCCGGGTCTTCCGACGCAACAATAGTGTCATCTACGTGCACCAAAGCAATAACAACCCCACGCTCGTCAGTCTTAACGAACATAGCCGGATCAGACTTCGAAGGATAAAGACCCAACTTGGCGAACTCTGCTGATAGTTTTTCATACCAGCAACAGGGTGCCTGCTTTAAACCGTAAATAGACTTCTGCAGCTTGCACGCAAGCGACCGGTCACTGGATGCATATCCAGGCGGTTGCTCCATCCACAACTCCTCCTTCAGCTCACCATTCAGAAACGCAGTAGACACATCGAGTTGATGTACCGTCATGTTCCGGGCTGCGGCAACTGCTAATAAAGCACGCAATGACGAACCACGAGAGGTAGGGGCAAACAACTCCCCAT